CTGACAGTAACTAAAGAACACTTCCTCCGGAGTTGTTTGGTTGCCCGCAAAACACCACGCCGCAGACTCTTGTGTCGGATTGCGACAATAGTTTTCCTCCAAACCCGCGTATTGGTCGGCATATTGCCACATACTCCACGGCAAACAGGGCACTCCTTGATTGGTCACATTGATGGTACCCCGATAGTCCGATTGTCGTTTGCCCCGGAGGGTACCACAAAGATTGACATTGATCGTGCCATCTATGGCATCACAAAATGGTACATCGCAGTCTAGCTTTCTCGTGGGACCTCCCGCCGTGTTGGCAATGCACCACGCCCGACTCGCGCCATTGGGATTGCGACAATAGTTTTCGGAAAGGTTGGCATCGGGGAATCTCTCGGGCGAGTAATTGTGGCTGTTGGGAAATTGCGAGTCCCATCGTTGACAGGGAATGCCCGTTTCACTGGTATTCTGTCGTCCTCGATAGTCGGCTTGATTGGTGCTGGCCGTCCCGCAAATCAGCACGGTAATGTTGGGGCGTACCAAAATCTCTTCGGTTTTCTTGGTGGTCAACACCACCACCATGGGGATCCCCAGAGCGAGGAGGACCATCAGAATGCATGCCATCACGTATTTGGTTTTACTGTTTTGTCGTAGTGCTTCAAAATCTTCCGGTGCCTTTTCGGCCGTGACTACATCTTCATTCTCGACCAATGTGGCACTAATCATGACATTGCTTTCTGCGGGAATGGTCAAGGGCTCGGTTGGAGGAGGAATGTTGTCATAGTCCGGAATGGATGCCAAGGCTCCCGGTTCTTCTGCTCGCATGGAAGAAGAAAAAACGGTAGAAGATTGTTGATTATGGGGACTACTTGTAGTAGTAGTATAACTGCTCTTGAAGGAAGCAATTTTGCTGCTGCTGCCCAAGTCCAATGGTACATTGATACGGGAATATCGAACGTCGCTGTTGCGTTGCAATCCTTCCCCGGGAGCTCCTTTGTAAGCACCGGGTCGTTGAGGTACTATTGCAGATTGTTGTTGTCCAATAGCTGGTGGTGGTGGTCGAGCCTTCATTTTGGCCTCTGCATCCTCGTCCAGAGCTGGAGGAATGGCGGCTTGGTTCTCCCCAACTGATGAAGCATCGGAATCAGATGCCATGGTCTCCATTCTAGCTCTTACGTACTTGAGAGCCAATAAATCATCGTCGTCTCCTCCTCGTCCTTCTTCCAGATCCTTCTGACCATGAGGTTGTTTCCTTGCTACCCCGTTGATTGGACTGGGGCTTCGACCGGTACGATTGGCACCAGCAGGTTTCTTATCCCCGTGTCTATCCTTTCTTGGACTCTCGTGGCGGCGATGCCTCTGGGGACTCTTCGAACGATGATGACGGCGGTGATGATTCGATCCATACTCCTTGGGGGCATCTTGGCGTGGGCCTTGTCTTCGGATTGGTGTCCAACGTTCCAGGAAATCCAACGAAGCGTCCACGAATCTCTGAAGACTTGTCGTGTCCGGGCTGGGCATTGTACCCTTGGTCTTTGTATCGTGGAACATAAACAACATCCCAGAATAGGAATACGAGCAGAATGCTGATATCCACGGTTTGTCGGTGAGAACTTCAAGAGGTGGTCTCCATCCGGTCGATTTCTCTGATGTATGGTCATAACATCGCCTATCCATTGCATGCACAGTAACCAGGCTTCGGCTCAACGTTCCGCCAGTTCATGAACCAGTTATGGTTGCGTTTAAGATGTTTCCATCTGTGTTCTGCGAAGTTTTGATGCTGGTAGTGGGGTTCAGATTGCCAATCGTCAATGCATAGCGCACGAAGTATCTCTTTTACTCGCGGAAGTCTGTGCTGAGTGCCATCCGAGATAAGCTTGTCCATTGCCCCCTTGTTCGTATGACATCCTCAAGGGTATTGACAAAATCCGCAGTGAAGACATACCGAATACATCGATGACAAGCGATTTACGCCAATGAAGATTTGTGCCATCATTTGACCTCCGTGCAAATGGCGGGTGTGTCTGCAAGATAGTGTCCGTAGCAACGGGTTCATGCGTCGCCATACATTATGAGCAGGGAAAGGTGATTTAATGGTTTGCTTGATGTGATGTCCAGCTTGGATATTGGATGCATGTTGGGTAGTCCGTTCAAATGTACGACGAATCTTTTCAAGGGAACGTGGAGAAAGAATGGACTGTACTTTCGGTAGTCTGGTGGTTTAGGAGTGGACTCGGTGGCTGGGATAGTGATTGTGGTCTTTAGACGGGATGGTATCAGTATCAAATGCAGAATAGACGGATTCTGCAAGGATGCACGGTTGGTTGAGGTTGCAGACAATCTTGTAGGCCTCGAGAAAGGTAGCATGGTTGATGCGCAGTGGATTCTCGTTAGTGGAGTGATTGCTTCAACTGTGGGTGCATGATGCGGTTCACGGTGTTGTAATTTCCTTGTGAATCGAAAGCATAGTTGGGTGGTGCATCATCTTCGAGTTTGATACGATTGTACCAGTCGTCGTGATCACTGTGTCTGAAGTCGAGGACTTTGGGATCCCATAACTCGCCAGATGTCAGAATGACATGGGTGAGTGTTGTAAGTTCATGTCGGAAGGAGGGACATTCGCATGTACGGGAGTCCATTGACAATATCCAGAGGAATGATGAAGCCATCGTTGGTGTGGATGCATTGTCTGCCGCCACATAGGAGGGATCGATCATCGACTCGGTTCTTGTAGTGCTCGATCTGACCGGATGCATGGATGGTACGGTTGATACCATGGTAGGCATATTGTCGTAGCACAACGATGATGGACCGCGGTGCGAGGTGACTTTACCAACTCCATCGACGATCTTCAGACCGTTCATCTCATGGTTGTCGATGCCAGTGACATCAACCTGTCGTTGGTGTGTAACCATGACGCGAGCATCCTTACCAAGGATCCCGCCGTTGGCTCCCCTATCAACAAGGGAACCGCGATCGTTCTTATGTCGAATCACAGTGGTCTGAACTGCGTATCGATATATAGAACGAGTGTTGTCATCTGCATCGGGAGGTACCGCGCGAAGGAGTGGCGTGACAGTGTCCCCGAAAGGTATGGCAATAGCCGTTTGTGAAGAGGCCTGTGGACCACATTGGCTTAGTGTTGTTCCGGCCTGATGAAAATCCTGCTCGTCGTCGGAGCTTGAAGAGCAGCGAAGGAGTTGGATGCATCTCCAGTGTGATACTGTTGTGATACATCGGAGGGGCGGTAGGAACTGTCGGAGCTCCTGGATTCAGATGAGCTGGATGAGAGCAGGTCCTGTCTGTAACCGGGCGGTGACATGAGGTTGCAGATTGATCCAAGGGTGCCTGTGGTCGTTTGGAGGTTCCTTCTTTTTGGACTTGCCCTTTCGGCCTCGAGATTTGGAAGAGGTGCAGTAACAAACCCAGAGGACTGGAGTGCCGTCGGAGACCGGCGTGGTTGTAGGGCCGCGGCAGAGGATGCCATGCTGTTGCAGGTGCGAGCGCAGCAGGAGTCTGTCTGAGCACTCGGCGTTGTCGGACAGCCTTGCGGATTCCATGGGTGCCTTTGATGTGGCGCATGGATGGTCTTCCGGGAAGTCAGCCTCGTTTGGTGTCGCGAAACTGAGGTCAGTGTCGATATCGGCTCCAACATCGGAAGAAGGGTCGAGTTGGAGTTGGGAAATATCGAGCGCTAGCGAATCCGGGTCAACAGCGGGTATCTCCGCAATAGGTGCTTCTGTGAGGGTACTTCTTCCGCTGTAAGATTGGCCAAGAACTGTTGCTCAAGCTTGGTGGCAGCTTGGCGTTGACGAAGCAAGAGTGTATCTCCAGGTTGCTGAATCTGATGGTATGGTGGAGCCATGAGTGTGCCAATCACAGGAGGTGTCGTAGGTTCTAGCTGTGCCTCCATGGCTGAGGAGATGCGCCGACGTGTCCAGAGATCGAAGGTTCATCGCACAGAACTTGCGGTTCGAAGGTGTGGTACCCTTCTGATCCTCTTTGGATTTGCTGTTGGGTATTCGTATCAATAGCCTCGTATTGGGAGGTACCGTAAGCAAACTTGTGAGAAAGCCTGATCATCGAAGGAAGGATTGTTTCTCCATCTCGAGTGGGGCATTGGAGGATCCGCTTCGTTGGTACGTCGAGGAGGTCCAATGGTGCGTCGTATCGCCACGAGAGTTTGTGTTTGGCTGTCCTCGGTTCATCAGAGAAATATACGAAGGGTTGCCAATCAGGGTCAATCTCTGGCTCGCTGACAACATCTCGTGGGAGTATGACTCGTAGGATGAGCGATCAACCTCGTGACTCGTACCTCGCGTGTAGCCGTATTGGTCGACTGTGATAGGACGGACGCGATATCACCGCGAAGGACGTTGGCGTTGAATGCGTCTTGTTGCACGCGAGCTGCAATGTTCAGTGTCCGTCTTGTGACTTGGTTTGGTGCGAGACACTTCTAGTTGCCTGCTCGTGGCGTGGTGCCCCATGTCGAGGAGGTCGTGAGAGTTGACTGAGCGGGATGGGCGTGATTGCCCAGAGTTGTGGTGACTACGTCGAACAGCTAGGTCAGCCGTGTAGTCAAGAATGCTCTTCTTGCCCTGCTCGGAGTATTATCCCATGCCTCTTGATCCGACTTGGACAACGACGCCATGTGGTTGCGTTCATCATGACCTTGCGTGGACCACGAGTGTCTGTCTGATGAGCTTGCAATAGGACTTCCACCGGTGTATCCATATCATGGACGAATGCCTCATAGGTGTCGCCACAGGTTTCCGCTGTACCATCGTCGAAGAGAATTTCGTGTTGGTGGTGCGACGACGGGCGTTGCTTCGAGAGCGTGTAGACGTCGCATGATTTGCATTGTCATGGAGTTGTGCTTGCTCGAGAAGGGCGCTCGGTACTGCTCGAGAGTATACTGGGAGGTGTCGCCTGCAGCTTTCTTGTCTGCATTGCGAGATCGTACGGGAGCGAGATTTGGTGCTTGGAGATTGAGCGTTCAAGAAACGTGCCCCCTGTTGTTCAGTGTATGGCTCATCGCTGATCTCATTGTACTGCCGAAATTGTTCGAGAAGTTGGAGATGAAACCAGCTTGGGACCCTCTCCATGTGCCTCTGCGATATCGGCGGAGGTGAGATACACGAAATCTTATCCGAGCGGAGGGTGCGACCATGACTTGGAGTATATTCGTCAATTGCCTTCCAATCGCGCGAGTGTCCTTGCGGTTTCGTTGGCAAGGACACAGATCTTGCCTGTGCTTCTTGGAAGATGTCTCGAAGGTCTTGTACATCCATTCTCGTTTTTCTCGCTAGTTCGACGTTGGTGACCGTGAATCAGAATCAATGAGGTGGGAGAGACCTTGAGACTTGAGCGTGTTGAGGAAATTCTTCCTCCATTTGATGTAGACTGATTCATCGCGAAGCTCCTCTGACGTCTGAGCGCGACGGGCTTTTGTTCTTGTCACCAAAGTGCGATTGCACGTTCCCCATCGGTCATCGCGCATCGCTTGCGTCTCTTTTTGCCATGGGACGATTTCGCCGTGGCTGGAAGAGTCCAACTCTGAAAGCGTCGAAGCGTCGGCCGTCAGTGTACGAGCGGAGGGTGCCTTCCTCCTGGACGACCAATGGTGATCATCTTTCGCCGCGAGCATAGTTCTTCCTGGGTGAGAGGTACTGTCTTGAGTGCCGTTGGTGTCGTGGAAGCTTGGAGATTCCAT